TGCGGAAATAAAGACAAAATCATCACAATACTGACATAGAGGGCACAGTACTGACATAGAGAGCACAGTACTGACATAGGGGGCACAGTACTGACTGACATCATGCTGCGGAAATAAAGAAAAAATCATCACAATACTGACATAGGGGGCACAGTACTGACTGACATCATGCTGCGGAAATAAAGAAAAAATCATCACAATACTGACATAGGGGGCGCAGTACTGACATAGGGGGCACAGTACTGACATAGGGGGCACAGTACTGACATAGGGGGCACAGAACTGACCATCATCATGCTGCAGAAATAAAGACAAAATCATCACAATACTGACATAGAGGGCACAGTACTGGCATAGGGGGCACAATACTGACTTAGGGGGCGCTGAACTGACATAGGGGGCACAATACTGACTTAGGGGGCGCTGAACTGACATAGGGGGCGCAGTACTGACCGTCATCATGCTGCGGAAATAAAGACAAAATCATCACAATACTGACATAGGGGGCGCAGTACTGACATAGGGGGCGCAGTACTGACCATCATCATGCTGCGGAAATAAAGAAAAAATCATCACAATACTGACATAGGGGGCACAGTTCTGACCATCATCATGCTGTGGAAATAAAGACAAAACCATCACAATACTGATACAGAGGGCACATTACTGAAATAGGGGGCGCAGTACTGACATAGGGGGCACAGTACTGACATAGGGGGCACAGTACTGACCATCATCATGCTGAGGAAACAAACATAAAATCATCAACGTATGGGATATAAAACTGACCATTAACATGCTGATTACATAAAAAAATATCAATAATGTACTGGGTACCGTACTAAATGTACATTTTAACCATGAAAACATGTAATCATGCTGATAAAATAACAATAAAATAATCAATGTATGGGATTCAAATCAATACTTAATGTCATCATTCTGGTAAAATAAAAAGCTGTGATTCAAAGCTACAAGCTTCTTTTTATAATGTCATACTAACTGTTGAACAAAAGTTATGTCTAACTTCATGAGGGAAGGTTAGCTGTGACATAGAGCTACATGTTTATTGTTGTAACATCTTACTTACCAGAGATCCAAAGCCATGCGTTTGTTGTAGTTATGTCATTCTTACCTGTGATCCAAAGTTATGCCCCACTTCGTGAGCGAATGTGAGCTGTGAGACCCGGGAGCTACGCGTTTGTTGTAGTTATGTTAAACTTACTGATAATCCAAAGTTATGCCCCACTTCGTGAGCGAATGTGAGATGTGAGACCCGCGGAGCCACGCGTTTGTTGTAGTTATGTCATTCTTACCGGTGATCAGAAGTTATGCCCCACTTCGTGAGCGGATGTGAGCTGTGAGACCCGCGGAGCCACGCGTTTGTTGTAGTTATGTTATACTTACCGGTGAACCAAAGTTATGCCCCACTTCGTGAGCGAACGTAAGTTGTGAGACACGCGGAGCCACGCGTTTGTTGTAGTTGATGATGGTGACGATTCCCGTGTTTAGGCTCTTCCTAATTTGCTGGTTCCCTTCCGTGTAAGATTTGTACTTCTCACATATGCCCCCCGCCGATGCTAAAAATACACATCATCACGTAATTTAATTTTAATGTAATTAAAAATTTCATTAAAACTGGGCATGGAATAAATGAGCATTTCAAGTTAAGTAAACATTAAAACGTGGTGCAAATAGAGAATCGCACTTTGGCATTACTTCCGGGTGAAGGTTAAATAATAGAATGGCAGTCACTTGCACAAAACAAGACTTTTTCTTTGGTGTGTCAGGTGGATTTTCACTCAATAAAACAATCTTTTTTTTTAAATCATGGTTTATGAATTGTTTACAATTGTAGAAGCATTACATGTTTTGGTGGGTAATATTCTGTTGATTTGTCCTCTAAAATAGTTTCATGAAATATAATTTTGATTTTTGATTGATCATTCAGGATATATAGCACAATAAAAATTCCTGAGGATTTAATTTCGTTTATAATTGTTGGAAGATGAAATAAACAAGAATAATGGTTTACTTGATTGACTATACCTGAGATATAATTATAATTTGCAATTTCTATGTTTTGGTAAAAAATTGATTATTATAAGGATATGTAATGTATATTCAAACATTTTATGGATTAAGTGATTGGTTATTCATGATATAATGTATATTCCAAATTTTGTGGGTATCATATATTTATTTTCAGAAAAAATGAATAAGATAAAAATGCTGTCAAAATTTTACAGTTTACTTCATTTTATTCATAAGATATCATATTCACCAGATTCTTATGAATAAAGTGTTGATTATTCATGATATAATGAATATTCAAAATTTTGTGGGTACAATTACATACGTCTGCATTAATAACGAAAATGATAAATATATGCTATCTGAATCTTAATGTAGAATATTTTCAATTCACACAGCTGTCAAAACATAATAAATAAAGCACAAGTATGCCTGAAACAATCTAAGAAATTTAAGAATTCCAGACTTTATATCGTGAATGTACATAAAATACTCACATCCAAAAATAAATCGAGTTTTATATAAAGTTTACATTATTGTACGAAAAAAATATAGGCAATTCATTCAAGGGTTCCTTTGAAACATTTTTTCCCCTTCTACAAGCAAAAATGATTGGTCAGTAAAAACACATTATATTAATTTTCAGAAGGGGACCCCAACCCAGCCAACCCAGGGTACCGTAAAGTCGCGATACATGAAGATATAGGCAAGACAGAACGCGTCGTGATTGGTCAGTAAACATAAACATTATATTACATATATTACATATCTAACCTGAAGGTGAGCCCACCCAGGCCAGGCCCAGAGTACCGTGTGAGAAGTCACGATATGTGAAGATGTACGCCAGACAGAAAGCGTCATGATTAGTCAGCGAATTCAGGTTCAGGAAGTTACTGACGTCTATATTGGGTTGACAGAACGCCGTCTTCTCCAGAACGTTTCCACATTTCTCCGTCTCATCCGTCATTATCTGTAACAAAGATCACTTGCCTTGTCTTAAAGATTTAAACATTAATATTTACATTTACAATCCTAAGAAAACTTAAAATTCTAAAAACCTGTTTGGAAATTTGAAAATTTAGATTTTTGAACTAACATAATTTTCAATATACCAAATTAGTTTGAGTTTTTGAAATTTAGAAATTTGAACTAATATATGAACATTCCAAAGTTCAAAATAATTTTAGAAATTTGAATTGTTAAGTTTTACCCGTTACAGTATACCTCACTACCTTGGAGAGGTCAATACCAGTACACAAGTGCTTGTTAGATGTTTATCCTAAAAATCAGTGGTTTGCAGCTAAAAGGAGAAAGACTTGACACTGGTGTGTGATGTACTTACCGTGGTTCTCTGAATTTGGAACTGGACGCCCTGAAAACATGGTGACTGTCCGTTGAGGGGCGAGAATTTTGTTTGGCCGTAAATATCGTTAATAGCAGCAACATGGCTGGCAAAAAAGGACAGAATTTCATCTCGGGCCGCGATCTCATTCTGAAATTATATTCTTACCACATAGTCAAATATAACAGTGTAAAGTTAAAATATCAAAATAAATATTCTATATGTTATTGTATCATGTTGAATAAGTGTATGGGTTAAAAATTACAGTGTTAAATTCAATGTATACTGACAGAAAAATGATTATTTTGAACACCATACAATTAGCTGTAAACATGTATTTTATTTTTACACTGATACTTTATCCGGAAAATTTATCATGTTTCTTTTCTTAACTTTTTTTTTATACTTACAACATTTAATTATCCCAATTTAATTAAAATTAGATGTTAGATCTGCTCGCATACTCGGTTCACTAACATCTTACATAATCCCGTAGATGGTAGAGGGTCGCGTGAGAGGTCAAATTCTATAAACCAATCAAATCGTCGCCTGCACAATCATCATATATTTGAGGAGTGATTTATGTTTGGAGTTGTTCCGAATTTGACCTCTGAGGTGACCCTCTAAGCGATGTTTTCAGATGTTAGTGTAGCTATTAAGCCAGCGGATCTAACATCTTAATTAGATTGGACTTCATCCTAGAAATGTATCACAAGCCTTTTACTGTAGACACACTTTTTTTTGACAGGGTCAAAATTCAGTGGAATCTATATTTCTGTTCAATCCACTGGTAGAAATTACGCTTATGTGTATCAAAGAGGCTGGGGATGGCAGCCATTTTTAGACTATTTCACATCTCCTTTAAAGAAGAGCTTCATATAAAGATATACAAAAATGATCAAATTTTAAAGCTAAAATGTATGAATTTTTCTTTAACAAATAATAGTTGGCAGCTTAAGATACTGTATCTTAAAAAATAAGTTAAATTTGATGGTTACTTTGTGGTTAATTTGTTGGCTAAAATTTGTGACCGTGTACATAGCAAAAACTAATACCACGCAGACAAAAGTACTTGTACAGTATTTTAACTTACCCCATTTAAGTCGGACTTGAACTTGTTAAACAGTATGGGATCGGACCTCATGTAGAGAATACAGGTGTTCTGGGACCCGATACTACAGCTGGCCGTCGCTCGACGCTGGCGATTATCGTGGGTATTACTTTCCGCTGAGTATTTATTGTGTCAGATCGAGTCCTTATAGCTAAAATATGACTGAAAAGAATAGGGGATACATTATCTTCACTGAATAAAGAATTTCGTCTTCATCAATACAGAATAAAAGTTATTTCTCAAATCAGTTATTTCTCCACGTCGTCATGTGATGTAGATATTTATTGACAATTATATTTGTAGAATATTAACTTTTTTCTGAGGTATATATTGACCTTGGCCTCTGTTTTACTATTAATAGACTATTCTATTTATCGACTACAATATTTCTAGTCTATTCTATTTTTAGACTGTTCTATTTATAGACTATATTCTATTTATAGACTATACTCACTCTTTTCTGTCGTATATTGACCTCTGCCTCCGTTTGACGGACCATCCAGTTCCTATATTTATCAAAAGCACACTGCGCTGCCTCAGAATCTGCTTCACGCTTGTGTCTGTCAGAGAATGGAGATTTCGTAAAAAATACACATCCTGCATTAAAACTTGTTTAGTAAAAACACCGATATTGTGAATTCACAGATCTATATAACAAAGTTATTATGGATCCCCAGCTATATAAATTTAAAAAATTCCTTAAGCAGAAAATAAATATAGATAAATATAAAGAATTACGGCTTTAGTGAAGTAATTTCATAGGTCCCATTGACTTTGTCATAACCAAGTTTAACATTATCTATAAAGAATTTTCATGGATATAAAGAAGTGATGCTTCAAAATAAACTGTAATCGTATGTTTTTACCTGCAATAAGGTTGACTTATCCATTTTTTTTTAAAATTTTACATTGGAGAGGAGTATATTACAGCAGCTACAATCTCTTTTTTATAATAACTATTTAAGGAAACTTGTCCAGGTTTTTTTTTTTTGCACTATGAAGCACTGACAAACATTTTTCATGTGAACAAGAACAAATTAGAAATAAATATACCTCATCTTCTGTTTATGGACAAGAGAATACTGTTTATTTTTACACATGTAAATAACACAATGGTACGGTAGTTACCTATATGGGTCTACATTGAGATGTTAACACAGTGATAGTTACCTATATGGGTCTACATTGAGATGTTAACACAGTGATAGTTACCTATATGGGTCTATATTAAGATGTTAACACAGTGATAGTTACCTATATGGATCTATATTGAGATGTTAACACAGTGATAGTTACCTATATGTGACTATATTGAGATGTTAACCCAGTGATAGTTACCTATATGGGTCTACATTGAGATGTTAACACAGTGATAGTTACCTATATGGGTCTATACTGAGATGTTAACACAGTGATAGTTACCTATATGGGTCTATACTGAGATGTTAACACAGTGATAGTTACCTATATGGGTCTATATTGAGATGTTAACACAGTGATGATTACCTATATGGGTCTATATTGAGATGTTAACACAGTGATAGTTACCTATATGGGTCTACATTGAGATGTTAACACAGTGATAGTTACCTATATGGGTCTATACTGAGAT